AAGCAGATTAGACACTATCACATGATTTTCCTGTCATTTAAATACAGAGCAGAGATAAACTCAAATAAAGAGAGTCAGTGACCTTGTAGATTATTCTGTGGGAAAATCTAGGGCAGTGTGAAATCCCAATTTGTCTTTCTTTCAGTATTCCTGGCCTGGGTGACAAGCTTTTGAAAGCAGGCACCCCAGGTTAAAAGGCCAAATATTAACTCTAGGCTTCTAACCTCTCCATTTCAATTTTTATCTAAGAAATTATTATGCTTCTATCATCTTTCTACAAAGCTTTCTAGCTATAGGAGTAGAACAGAAAACAGTCAGGGCCTTAAGATTTCTGTCATTATAACTGTAATTAAAACATAAGAAATCATCAGTGTTCCCAACCCCCCACCACTCTACTGTTATTATTAAACTGATAGCCAGGAACAAACTTTAGCAAAAGGTCAATAAGTGACAGATCAGCAAAGTACTACTGGTGACAACTTAGATAAAGGTTAATAGGCAACCTCAGCACAAAAAAAGAATTGTTTCTATGACTCAGGGGACAACCCTGAATGCCTAGCATGCTTATAAAAACAAAATAAGCATCAACAATGGAAAAAGAATCACTCAAAAACAAAAATCTGACTTTTTTGCTTTCTATCATTATAAAATGCAGACCAGATGTTGCAATGCTGTAACAGTATCAATCCCAATTACTGACTCTACTTTTCTTTCACTCTGCTGTCACACCAATCATGACTCAAGACCTATGTCACCCCTTCCTGCTGAGTCTTCAGCTCAGCCAACCCTGCATAGGATGCTTGGCTGACAGTCAACATCTAGTTATCATGTGACTCCTTATCAGAAGCACACACAGACATCTTCATGCAGTCTAATCGGGTCTTCAGACTCTCAACTCTGCCTTTTCACATAGCCTGAGCCTATTCAATTCCTCTGTGTCTCTGGTTCTCTTCTCCATGAAACAGGATAACCATTGGGCCCTGGGGTCGTTTATTTCATTACTTCGCTCCATGCCTGAATCTTTGTGGGTGATTAGTCTTAAATATACACATGAACGTACAAGCAGACACCATGCAATTTACTTTATAACAAACCTACTCGGATAATTGCTATTTCCCAATCATCTCCATTGAAAAAAATCAAACCAACAAAAGAAAAGGCATTCTGATTATCATTAATACACTCTTCTCAAAATCTAACCTTTTAGTGCAAAAAACTGTATCATGGGAGAATATATCATTGTTTCACTAGTTGCTAAGGGTTGAAGGACATAAGGGATAACTGGAGAAACTGAGTGGGAGCTTGTGAGTAGAGACAGAAGTTGATGATAGATATACATGCTCCACATCCCAATTTCAGTGGTGGTTATACAACTGTGCACAAGTCAAAACTCAGGAAACTGAACCAAGACAGATTTGCTTTTTATGACATGCCAATTATAAAACATCAATCTTTCCTAGAGAATAAATCAAACCAGTGGCATAAAGTAACTTTCATATCCAAGATATTTTAACAGCTGTATTTTGTATTACCCCTATAGTAACATATATCAATTGAATTTTAAGCAAGCTTTGACTTATTCTAACATAATATGTAAGTACCAGTAAAAACAACCAATGGATCATTTTTCTATAACAGAAACGCTAACCTTAATATATAAGTAATATTCTCTATCTTCTGACAAATGGGAGCTCTGGGATGTCTCTGGCTTGGCTTTACAAATCTCTACTTGGCTATCTCATGTGTCTCTAACGTACATGGATTATTGTCCACGATCCCTAAAGTAATATATTCACAGTAACCTTTAAAGATTTAAGTCAGATTAAATGACTAGACATATGTATATAGATAACAATCCCAGGGCTGGAGAGATGGCTCAGCCGTCAGAGTTCTTATTGCTCTTGCATTGTACATAAGTCAGTAGGTGCCATGTCAACACCTATGTTAGGCAACTCACAACCATGTGTAACTCTGGCTGCAGGAGATCCAACACCCTCTCCTGTACTCACATACACATACCTGCGAAGAGACACACATGTATACACACAATTTAAAAATTATTAAAATAAATAATCCACGTGGGCAAAGCCTGTGATCCTAGCTACTCCAGAGACTGACAGAGAGGAATTGTAAGTTCAATTAGGCAACTTAGCAAGACTCTGTTTCAAAACTAAAGTTCAGGAGACGAGTAGCTTTGATTGTAGCTCAGGGATAGAGCATCTGCCTAGCAAGAGAAAGGTTCAAACCTGAGAACTGAATTGTTTTTTTTTAAACACAGAGTTTCATGGTGGACCCAGGACACATGCATGTTAGGCTACATTTTCAGCACTGCATTTTGGGTTTTTAAAATGTCGTATTTCGCCAGGCAGTAGTGGCGCACGCCTTTAATCCCGGCACTCGGGAGGCAGAGGCAGGCGGATCTCTGTGAGTTCAAGACCAGCCTGGTCTACAAGAGGTAGTTCCAGGACAGCCTCCAAAGTCACAGAGAAATCCTGTCTCGAAAAATAAATAAATAAATAGTAAAAAGTCATATTTCGTTCATAAGAAATTAAGGCATAAACTATAAAAGGTAAAATAACAACACAAGATATTTCACCACTGTCCTCTTCTGGTTTTGCTGTATATAGAAGGCGCTAAGTAACTAGTGGTTTTTGTTGTTGTTATTCTTTTTTTTTTCAATTTAAATAAGCTGGAGAACAAAGCTACGTGAAATTGAGCACACTGAAAACAAAAATTCAAATGGTTATCAACTGGTGAATTATACAGAAAATTATGTTATCTGATTGTGATGTCTCACCAGTGTATATATAGAAAACATACCACATTGCATACTTTAAATAGATGTTGCTACTTGTATCACAATTTTATTTCAGTAAGGCTATGTTTAAAGATATTTTGATTTAAAAATCATCTTCCTGGCCTGGGATAATGTATTTAGACCACCCTCTTTTTCAAATAGATGAACACAGTGGAAAGTCAAAGAATTTCAGTCACTGGAATACATAAACAAAATCTTAATAGTCCAAAGATTTAATTATAATTTTAAAAAACAGCTAAAGTTAATATTTTCATAGCTGTTACTATGTGCCAGGCACTATTTTAAATTTTTTTTATTATTTTTAGTTATGTGTCTAGGTGTATGCCTGTGTGTGGATATCATTAGGTGAGGGTGGACACCCATAGAGGTCAGACACCTTGGATTCCTCCAAGAAGCTGGAGTTACAGACAATTGTTAAGTGCAGGACACATGCCCTGAGAACTAAACTCAAGTTCTCTAGAACAGAACACAGCTCTGAACTAACTCCTCAGCCATCTCTCCAGCCCATGCCAGGTACTTTTTAAAAGCATGTTTCTGATGCTAACTTTTCTAACTCTGACATAAGTCCTACCTTACAAGTTAAAAACTAAAGCACAAGCGTAGGTAAAATCTAACAGATTCTAGAGCTTGGAACTGGTAAGTGAAAGAGGTGGGGTGTGAAGCCAGGACAATTTCAGAGCTGATCTTCTTAACCACCTACACTATCACCGCCCTCAACATACCATCCAGCATGTAAAACTGCAAACAATCAATACTGCTGTGCAATAATGATTTCCTTCACAGTTATAAAGCACGCATAACCACAATGGAAACATTCATGTGACACTCACTAAAACGTAAAGTGACTTTCATTCTTCTTTCCCACTTAATACATTGAGGAAAAAAGACAGCAAAGTAACCAATTACTGGGGAACTGGTAAAGTAACCAATTACTGGGAAGCTGGTTCAACACACGACCAATGTAGTATTCCTCACTGTTTTAAAAATCCTAAGTATTTGAAGTAAAGTCACCAGGGAGGGGAAAAAACAATCTTACCCATAACAGCATGAAAAGCATAAACATCATTCTCTGTGCTATTAAATACCCTAATAGCACCTCAATCCCTCCCAGAGTCTGGATTTCTGTGTGTAACTAGTATGAAGTCTGGTTTAGAAGCTTCCTAGGTGACTGTCATGGGCAGCCAAGTTTGAGAACTCCTGATTTTGATTTCTCATTAAAGGAAGACACAGAAGAAAGCCGGGGACTACAAAAAGCTACAGTAAGCCATAGCCCAGAGTTTCCAAGTCAACATCATACTGTGCCCAAATGCAACTTCTAATCATTCAACGTAAACTCCGGATGATACTGACCCAACTGGTAGATGACTACACTGAGCAACAAGGTCATAATAACTCGAATACGAGCTAATTGGCTGACAATTATGGTTATATACAGTACCTAGGAAATAGGTGCCAAGAACCATAGATCAGTGTTCCTGTTCCCAGCTTGATACTTGGCAAAGAAACCGAATGAGAGCCCCAAGAAAGGGTTCAGTAGTGGGTTTTTTGTTTTGTTTTGTTTGTTTTTAACTTTTTTTGATATTTTATAGCATAAAGCTAGTTAAGTATTTAACAAAAGCACTAAGTGAATGAATGAACGAACGAACACAACCTGCATCACATCTTAAAATTCTCTGAGAATGTAAGACAGCAGTGGCAAAGGCCTGTAAACCCAGGACTCGGGAAGCAGAGGCAGGGGAATGTCTTTGAGTTAGATTGAGGCCAGCATGATCTACAAAGCAAGTTCCAGGAAAGTAAGAACTGTTACACAGAGAATCCCTGTCTTGAAAAACAACAACAATAAAAAAATCTCCGAGGGCTACATTTACATATATGGATGTAGACAGCCATAATTTGATACAAATTCCTGTCCTGTCCATTTGGCTAGCTTTCAACTTGGGAGAAAGTCCCTCAACATTATTTTCATTTTAACTCTCAAGTCTTCCTGCTCCCTGATGTTTAACAATTTTTCAGCTCTCAGAGTGTTTTCAAAAATGATGGAGAGAGGAGAAATGCCTAAGAGAAAGATTGTGGAAAGTCTCAAAATTCAAAACCACTTCTGCACGTGGTGGTACAGAAGATTGGCCAACAGTTGGGTCCAGCTGAGCGAACAGCTAAGATGCCAGAAGTATCATGCTCTTACCTATGCAGGTGGCGGGAGGTGGGCTCGGGCTTTTTATGTTTTATTACTGTCCAGGGTCACTGGTGGACTAGAACCAGAATGTGGAAACTCACGCCAAAAAGACTGCTGGCAAAGCCTCAGAGGCTTTGGCTCACTTCCTCTTTCCCAGTGTAGCCCCGCGCGTTTGAGAATGCAACAACTACCGCCCAAACACAAGATGACGTAACCGGCTTCACAGGGGCTGGAAGCCATTGCCAGGACCTAAGATGGCGGCAAAACGCTAGGTGAGGCATCGGAATAGCCCGAAGGATCTGCCCAAACGAAAAATGGCTCCCGTTCCTGATCGCAAAGAGACAAAAATAAAAATGGTGTCTGGAGCGGGCCGTGTGGAGGTTGGGAATACCATGAATACGATTGGCAGATAACGAACCATTGTAATTCGGTATGTTGTGATGGACACGGAAAAAAAGCCCGTAGTGTTTCGATGGTTCACAAAACTACTAGGGCAGGTGTGGAAAACACTTCTGATGAAGATTAAAAGGTAAATTGAAAAAAATGAAGGTGGCCATCACAATGCCAGAAGAAGCTAATTTAAAGTAAGCTTCAACGTAACTTCATAATATTTCCGGCGGTCTGAGAGAACAAAAGACTAATCTCTGAAGCCGTAAAAAAGAATAGCAAGAACAAGGAAATTAAGCAATCAGTTCCGGCACCGAGTCGGAGACTCCCGACTTCTGCCTAACGCCGCACCGAGACTGGGCGGAAGTTTCCTGCCCGGCGTCGTGCTCTGACTGCGCATGCCCGCTCTCCGACCACCACCACCTCCTCCTCCTCCTCCTCCTCCTCCTCCTCCTCCTCCTCCTCCTCCTCCTCCTCCTCCTCCTCCTCCTCCTCCTCCTCCTCCTCCCCCTCCTCCCTGGGCGGTAGGGCGGAGCCACTTTCTTTAGTTTTAGGCATCCGGAGAGAGGCGGGAATTGAGAGCTGAGTGACAAAGCCCGGCGCTTTGTGATTGGCCAGGGACCGAAAAGCCGCCAAGAATGGTGACTTCTCCATTCATTCCAGAAATACCTATCAAGAGGGCAGAAGGTCGCAAATTCTGTCGCCTTCTTGATGTTGGGATGCGTTTTTAAACGTTTTCAGTTTGCAAAGCCAGAAGACACCTGGGTGACAACGACGTTCTCAGTAGCGGGAGCTACCAGCAAATGCCGGGAGGGAGGGCGGGGCGCGCGGAGCTGCGCATGCGTCTTCCTGCCTCCCTGGGCAAAGGTTGTGGACTGCTCAGCGTGGTCCCTGTGCTAGCTTGATTTCTGGGCTCCCGTGGCGGCGACGGCGGCCTGGCCGCGAGGTGCAGCTGCTGGTGGACAGGTGAGAGCGTCCGAGACGCCAGTGGAGAAGCCAGCTTGCGGTCCCCCTGCGTCCCCACACGCGAAGGTCGCCGGTGGCCTCGGCCAAGGGTATTTGGGGGCGGGGATACGGAGGCAGCTGTCTACCGGAGAGGCCACAAGGCCGGCTTTGAAAGTGGTTTCAGGACACGACTATCTGATGGCCCTGCGAGTGTGGGTGGCCGGGAGTGTCCGGTACCAGGTAGAGTTGGAATGAGGCTTCCTAAAGCCACCTGCGCGGTGAACGGGATGGGGAAGTTTCCCTGGGAGGTAGTCGGCGTCACCTGCGCTGTCGCTTTCCACCTGCAACCCGGAACTCTCTCACTCTTTCTCTGGAGAGTGCCAGTACGCCGGGGGCTGGCGGGCCGTGGGGGCATCCCTGAAACGCCAGACTGGAGCATGGCGCATAGACCCCTGGCAGCATGGTCACGTCAACTTTGAGAAAGCAGAAACAGAGCTCCGGCTTTTGTCTGTGTAGTGGAGAGCCAAGCACACCCGACATGAGGAGAGCCCGAGAGATGGATGGTGTTCATCTTTCTGGATCATCTTTTGATGTTTCCTAGGAGGAAAGTTTTTTGATGAACATCATCTACTTTCTCGTTGTCACACAGTATGTGTGTAACACTATTTCGTACGTCAGTGATCTAGACTGGCAGGGTTCTTCCCGCCTGGAACTTGTAGTCTAATAATAAGTCCTAGAAAATAATGACGTGGAGAGGGAATAAAAGTTTTAGATTGAGTACCAGAGCACGGCTCTGTAGGTGAGGAACACCCGAAAGGGAAGCTGAAGCTCAGGAATTGTGAATGAAATGCTGGGCACATAATACCACAAGAACCAGAAATTGACTGTTTCTTGGTTTTGGTTTTGGTTTTTGAGACAGGGTTCCTTTGTAGCCCTGTCTCTCCTGGAACTCTATAGACCATGCTGGCCTCAAACTCAGAGACATCCTCCCACCCCTGCCTCCAGGATGCTGGTACTAAAGGTGTGCACCACCATGACCGGGCTCAGAAATTGAATCTTTAAGGTATACTTTATTGCCGGGCGTTGGTGGCGCACACCTTTAATCCCAGCACTCGGGAGGCAGAGGCAGGCGGATCTCTGTGGGTTCGAGGCCAGCCTGGTCTACAGAGCGAGTTCCAGGACAGCCTCCAAAGCCACAGAGAAACCCTGTCTCGAAAAACCAAAAAAAAAAAAAAAAAAAAAAAGGTACACTTTATTTAGAGTTGATGGCAATTTGAGGAAGCAGGGCATTGAGACCCTGAGGAAATAAAGGGCCTAAACTCTTAAAACGAGCACAAAGGCAGTTGTCATTCTGGGCTCAGTCTTTCCTCTGGCCAGGTGGTCAGCCAGTGTCTGAGAGCTTTGGACCTCTCGTCACCCCTTGCACTTTTCCCTCATTGTCTGGACATCTAGACCCAGGCATTTTATGGAACAGAGTCTACTGGTGTCTATTGAGATCAACTGTGTACTCTACCAAGCATCACCTGGCTTGGTGTGGTAACTCCAAACAAACAACCACTAACATTAGTTTTTATGTGAAGTGGCCTGAAGGTTATCCATTATTGTTGTTTTCTGATTTGTATGTGTTATGCTATTAATAGTGGTTGGAGATTCTGTACTATAGAATACAAAAATGCCCTCTGCTAGTAAATAGAACGTTGGCCCTTCTCATTTCCTATCATAATGAGCCACCCTGTGAGACTAAGAAAGTAAGATTCTCTAGTCTCTGTTCTACAATGAGAATAAAGTAGAGGAACTAAACAAGTGGCTGCCGTGTTCTCTGTGTAAGTGGCTGTGAACTAATTGTGAATATTCGCTAAACAACATTGGAATTAATTCAGAGGAAATAGAGAAGTATGATTTTGAAAACTGAATAGATTTGTGTTGTAGACTATTTAACTATGTATAGATGTGTTACATTTGTTTATGATCTTACTTTAACTATGTATAGATGTGTTACATTTGTTTATGATATTACTTTCACTATGTAAAGCTGTGTTGCTGTTTTATCTTGCCTGCCTAGGTACCTGGTTGGTCTAATAGAAAGCTGAACGGCCAATAGCTAGGCAGTAGAGGGATAGGTGGGGCTGGTGGGCAGAGAGAATAAGTAAGGGGAGTAGACCTTACAGAATGAAAGGTAAAAAGCCGAAAGCAAAACATAAATGAAGAGAAACGGGTTAGTTTAAGTTATAAGACCTAGTGAGATTAGCATAAGCTAAGGCCGAACAGTCACAACTAAGAAGTCTCTGTGTCATGATTTGGGAGCTGGTTGGTAGCCCAAAAGAAAGCCTGCTATTGAATCAATTCTTTTGTTTTTGCTCCTATACAGTGTTTAACCATGGGTTATTAAGATCACCACCTTTTAAATTTGGTCTTGGTTTAGATGCCAAGCACCATTCCTTATTCACCTTGGTCGTTTTCCTAGTCTAACAATATTGCCAGTATGTGTCAGCAAGCGTTTGAATAAAAGTAACTCCACGCATACCTCAAGTGAAAATTGACATGAACACTAGAGACATTTGAATCAATACATTATTTTCCTAACTTTGTAAATTATAGCCAGAAGATTAGATGTATAATCACATTGCTTGAGCAGAAGTTTCTGGAGGGGCCTACTTTTGTATATTAGAAGCCAGGCATAAGTACCAGTAATAGCTATAATGTATTGAGCTCAAACTATAGTGTTATAAACATGTATAATAATTTTTATAATGTGATAGACTATGAGATTGAGGCAGGAACCAGTTTTCCCAAGTTGATAACTAGTTTATAATGAAGGCTAAAGTTGATTCTCATGCTTGTTCAAAGCTTTTGTTCTTGTCCAACATTTCTAAAAGTGCAGATCAGGTATCAGAACTCTCACATCTAATTACTTGGTAATTATAACTTTATTTTAAAAATACATGATATGTACTCTGTGTTTGCTGCTTTTCTGTGCTTCAAAAGTTTTCTTATTTCCTTCACAGCTTACCTGACTTACACACTCGACTGTTAGCTTGTAACATCTTATATTCTGACTATAGACACACAGATACCCCACAAGGAAGAGCCCCCAAAACTACAAAATCTGTTTCTTGAGAATCTGGATAGTTTTATTTTTTGTCTAACATATATGAATTGGAGACCAGCCTAAAATATATATGACCCTGTCTCAGGGAAGGGGAGGCGGCATCCTCCCTTTTCAGATGACCAAATAATACTAATAGTTTCCTCTACTGAATCCAGGCTGCTTCGGGTATGTTAACTGCACCACAGTTACTTATTATGTAAGCCACGATTACTCTTTTGCCAGTGATGGGGAGAAGTGGCTCAGCTCAGCCGGTGTAGTTAAAGAGGATTCAGGAAAGATCTGAAGCCCAGGCAGGATTCCACAACTCATTCATTCCCTAAAAGTCACTGCCTTATGATGCATTCTTATTAACCTGATTTGCTCTAGTCTATGAAAACTAGTTGGTAGAAACTAAATCTTGGTCTCTGTGTTCTAAGAGATTGAACTTTCACCCTATAGTCAAAGGGGTAACTGAAGTCTTCCAGGCAAACAGAAACTTGGCTTCTCATTTCTCTTTGTAAGTTGGAATTCAGAGGCTTTTGGAGGTCACTTAAACAGTAGCTCTCAAACTACAGCTTTAGGACTTCCTGGGAATTGTAATAAGTGTTTCTGGACAATACCCTGAAGTTTCCGCTTCAGTGGTCAGGGCAGCCCAGGTGATGACTAGTGTTGCTGCTGATGAGACCTCAGAAAAAGAAAAGTCATTTAGGGGTCATAAGTTTCTGGACTATGTTTAGGGGGAGGCAGGATGGAATGACAGGATGTGGCAACTGGCTTTTAAGAGTGAGGGAAAGGGCAAAATACATTATAGCCAGATGTCTGAATTGACGAGCTTAGTATAAGATACTTTTAATCTTTTTTTGATTTTAGTTATGTATATAGGTATATGCGCAATGAGTGCATGTGCTCTCAGAGGCCTGAAGGTGTTGTCCGATCACCCAGAACTAGAGTTATATACAGGTACTTATGAGCCACCTGATGAGGGTGCTGGAAACCAAGTTCAATTCTCTTCAAGAGCTCTTAGCTAATGAGTCATCCTTCCCTCCATACACCCCCTCCCCCAGCCTAATTCAGGCATAACAGCAGTCAGGAAAGAGGAGTTTGTTCTGTTGTTTTGTAATTAGATTTGTTTGATTTTGTTTGTTTTAGTTAGTTTGAGATAGAGTTTCATATAGCCCAGGCTATTTACTGTTAAGCTGAAAGATGGATGACCTTGAACAATGCTGTCTTCTCAATGATTCTCTTGTAATTCCCAGTCCTGAGATTATAGGCTTTGATTCTTTACAGAGGAAGAAGACCT